AAAAAAAAAAGGCAGTAAACAGTATTTTTTAAATGCCTCTTTCTTTCATTCTATCAAACATGCTTTTGAGCAGGGCACCAACCATTATTAAGACCAATCAGTATGGAGGATGGGAAGAAGAATATGCCAAAGCTCTCATCCCTCAAGTAATCTGCCACAACAGGACAAAGACATGTATACAAGTAAGGGTAAATCAACACAAAGTATTTTAATAAAAATAAGCTTTAAAAGTCTGGCTCTCTGCCCCTCTCCTGCTGTCTGTGAGCCTTCCTTCATGGACCCCTGTGCCAGCGTGGTGCAACAGGTACAGCAGATCCCTGAGCAGGTGGAGGGCCAGTACTGAGCAGGCTCCTCTAAGTGATTCCACAGGTGACTCAGGTTGTTGGTGACACATACTGGCAGCCCTCTTGTCGGGACACCGATCCTGTTTCTGGCATCCCAATGAAGCAAATGATGCCCCTCTCAGATGGTGCTGCCACAGGAGAACATGACATCTACAACACAATGACTACCTTGTCCAACTTTCAAATCCCAGTATGGCAACAATGAAGGAAGGTATTCCCTAGCATTTCACCCTCAGCGGTAGCACTCAGCATTTCTCAGCTACGTTTAACATCAGGAAGTTTGTATGTGTTAGTAGAAGCCATTCCCTAGTACACCTTCATCAGGAACATCTTAGCTTTCCAGCTAACTTCTAGCCTCGGAATTAAAAAAAAATTATGTACATATTCTATTTTACTTAAAAATTATTTTATGTATATGGGCATTTTGCCTGCATGTATATCTGTGCACCCACTTGCATGCCTGGTGCCCCACAGAGGCCAGAAAAGGGTGTTAGATCTCCTGAACTGGACTGACAGTTTTGAGCTGCCATGTAAGTGCTGAAGTTGAATTTGGCTCCTCTAGAAGAGCAACCAGCCCCTTCTATTTCACTTTTAAACTTAAAGCCAAGAGGAACCCCACAGCTTCACTTGGGAGCCATACTGAACTAACAGGTCATTCAGAAGCATTTTTTTTTTCCCGAGACAGGGCTTCTCTGTGTAGCTTTGGAGCCTATCCTGGCACTCACTCTGAAGACCAGGCTGGGCCTGAACTCAGAGATCTGCCTGCCTCTGCCTCTCGGGTGCTGGGATTAAAGGCGTGTGCCACCAATGCCCACAGAAGCATATTTATTACCTTTTGTCCTCTTTTCATTGGCTGTCCAGATCCAACATTTTTGCTGGTGTTCTGGTAAGCTTCAGTGTGCACAGAATTTTCTCTTGCTTTGTCCTTTCCTTCCATTACTTCTACATCCCCTGAGTCACTTGGAAGCTTTTTCTTTTTCATTTCTCTAAACAGAAGCCAAGCAGAAATACCAAATTTCGAGAATGTCAAATGTACCCTAAAAACTTGTAAAAGGAAAGGGTAGTAGGTACAATGTATGATTGCCTATTTTTAACTTAATAATCACCAGACCACTGTATGCAAAGATGCTCAAGTTATCAGGTACAAAGAACGGAATATCTTTTAAAGATTTATCATTCTGTCATCTAGACTCAAAAATTACATTTGCATATCCCTCTACTACACATTCATTTATTCAACTAACAACCCTAATGTGCAGACACCAGAACTGGTAGTATTCTATTAGCATGGCTTTGCCAGATCCTGGATATTCAATATATTTGTTGGCTGGTAGAATAAGTGTATCCAAACATAAACAAATTAAGGAAGAAGGGTACATTCTGTAGCTCTGGCATCTTTCTATTCCCAATGCTATTACTTTAGCTCAGGTCCTCACTGTCTCTTTAGTCTTCCTCTGTACTCCTTATAACCTTCTCTGTTTCCTTATCTGTCATAATCTCACTCAAAAATTTCCAAATATTCCCCTAATACCACTTGTAAAATAAATCTCCAAGTCCTTAGCCATTCCATGTTCTCTTACTTTTAATCTAAATTTACCTTCTCATCTAACCATCTATGCCTTTACAACATATACACCAACTTTCTTTTCCTTTTCCCTCAAGTTTTTTTTTTTCTTATCATTTCCCCAAAGTATCACCACACACACATTTTACTTCCATACCTGTCTCTCCTTGTTTTAATGCTAAAATTCACCTTGTAGTCTTTATTTACATGTACCTAGTTGCTAAAATATCTAAGGTATACTTCTCATGTGTATCTGCATGTAGAGCCCAGAGGATGATGTGTTCTGCTCCACCAAACTCTGCCTTTTTCCCTTGAGGAAGGATCTCCCACTGAACCTCAAGTTTCCGTGTCTTTTTGGTTTCTCACTAGGCTGGCCAGCCAGCAAGCCCCAAGAAACCTCCTAGTGCTGAGACAACAGGTGCCCACTGCTGTGCTCTGCTTTCTGCATGAGGACTAGGAATCAGGACTCAGGTCCTTATGCCTACCTGATAAATACTTTACTTACCTGAGCTATCTCCCCAGTCCCTAATATTTTGTTTTATACAAAATTTTCCTAGTCAATTTTAAGAATTTCTATTTATTCCTATTAATATCCTAGAATTGAAGGGGGGGTGGAGGGAAGGGCAAGAAAGGGTAGGAGAGAAAAGGAGAGATGGCTTAATGGTTAAAGCACTGGCTGTTCTTACCCAAGACCTGAGTTCAATTCCTAGCACCCACGTGACACTTATAACTGTCTGTAACTCCAGTTCCAGGGGACCCAATACCTCACACAGACATAAATGCAGGCAAAACATCAGTGCACATTAAATTTAAGAAATAAATTATTAAAAAAGATCAAGCATGGTATAGAAATATCACAGTGAAATTATTAATTTGTACAACTACTATAAAGGAATTAAAAAAAAAATCAAGTGCTTTGTATCCATAATGTCCTACAATCACTGTACATGTTTACATAATAAAAGGTCTGTTTTAATATTTATTATCTCACCTACCACAGATGAGTCTTGAATACAAAAACCACATTAGAGTTGGACATAAAGAGTCTTGGTAGCTGGGCGGTGGTGGTGCACACCTTAAGTCCCAGCACTCTGGAGGCAGAGGCAGGCGGATCTCTGTGAGTTCGAGACCAGCCTGGTCTACAAGAGCTAGTTCCAGGACAGCCTCCAGGGCCACACAGAGAAACCCTGTCTCGAGGGGAAAAAAAAGTCTTTGTGATAGATGCCTTTTTTCCTTTTTAAATATTTATCTAAAAAAAAAACAAAACATTATTTATTTATGTATGTGAGTGCTCTACCTGAATGCATGTCTTTATGCCAGAAGAGGGCATCAGACCCATTATAGATGGGGTGGGAGCCACCATGTGGTTGCTGGAAATCGAACTCATGACCTCTGAAAGAAGAGTCAGTATTCTTAACTGCTGAGTCCCAAAGGTGGTGATGCACACCTTTAATCCTAGTACAAGGGAGGCGGGGCAGAGACAGGTAAATCTCTCAGATCCAGGCCAGCCTGGTCTATAGAAGCAAGTTCAGGACAGTCAGAGCTACACAGAAAAACCTGGTCTCGAAAAACAAACAAACAAAAAACCTAAGATAAAATAAACAAAAAAATTCTGGTGATGTTTAATCTTCAAAATCATCCAATATGTGTCAGCTAGTTACTCTAAAGTTTAACTGTCTTATCCGTTTTCCTATGTAGATGATGTGTGATGCACACACACGACACACCCTTTACGGCATACATGTGGGGGTAGGAGGACAACTTTCAGGACGGAGTCAGTTCTCTCCTACAGTGGGACCTGGGGAGTGAATTTAGGTTGTCATGCTCATACAGCCTGCATTTTTACCCTGTGACTCATCTCATCACCCAGCTGTCAATTTTTAAAACGTGACTCAGCCATGTAACTGTTACCTTCTTTCCTTGGCTGACAAATGTCTTCGGCTCTGTGATTTACTGTCACTCTAGTAAAACAAAAACAAGGAATCATGAGACCATTACTGTTATTTTTTCAAAAAGTAAATTTTAAAAGAAAATTATTCAGAAAAACATAATATTTTAAAAACGTCACTTTAAAAATAGCTTACTGAATTAGAAGGTTCTTCTTTTGAAGCCAGTTTCTGCAGAGGCCTATGGAAACAAAGGAATTTATTAGCCTACAAAAGCCATTCACAGTTACAGTCTTAAAATTCCCCCATTTTCTTACTTATAATTCTACAAACCTTCAAATTTGACAAAATATAACCGAATCATCTTCCCATGCTTTGATACACATCCTTCCTGAGATGTGTTCAATCTTTTTCTTTTAGAGACAAACTGTCCTTGAACTCTATGTAACCGGGGGATGACCATGAACTTCTGCTCTTCCCACCTAAGGCAGGCAGCACTACACCCACTTGTAGAGCTGAAATCTCAACTCTGAGCTGTGGCTCAATGCTGTGCACTAAAATCTCCACTGAAACCCTGTGAAAGGGATACTCCATTTTTTAAGAAAGAAACCATTCTTAAACACAGGGTGGCTTGCCAAGGAGACATCTTAAAACTTCATAATGGTCTGTCTGAGTTCTAAGCCATGTTTTAAAACTCCAATAACAATGCTTAAACAAAAACAAAACAACAACAAAAAACTACCATCCTCCGTGGTGGCGCACGCCTTTACTCCCAGCACTCGGGAGGCAGAGGCAGTTGGATGTCTGTGAGTTTGAGGCCAGCCTGGTCTACAAAGTGAGATCCAAGAGAGAAAGGGCTGCACAGAGGAACCCTGTCTTGAACAGCCCCACCCCCACAGACTGATTTTTGTTAGACAAGGTTTCTCTGTGTAGCACTGAGTGTTTTGGAACTGACTGCTCAGCTTTAAGATTTATATTTAATTATGTATATGTGTCTGTAAGTGGCTATGTGCAAATGAGTGGAGATAAGCCAGAAGACAGCCCTGATTCCCTGGAGTTGACACAGGCAGCTGTGAGTGGTCCAACAGGGGTGCTGAGAACCAAACTCAGGTACTCTATATAAAAGCAATATGTTTTCTTTTGAGTCATCTCCCCAGCCCTTCCTTCACTGCAGAATTTTCAAATAAACATTTTAGTAGAATCTCTTTCCCATATCTCCCGAGGTCCCCTAGTAATTCCTCACTGTAGTCTCTTTTCCTCTTTCAGGTTCTATGTGTCCTTTTGCACCACCCCCACTCCATGCTTCTTCATCTGTTTTTATCCCCTCTGTCTCCTTTTTATGTACTTTTCTCCTTTGGTCCTGGGAATTTCTAGCAAGAGACAAGTCAAATGCTAAATAAAAAGACCTGAATAATAATAATAACCCTGCGAGTGGGTGAAAGTAGTGAAGTCAATCTTAGTGTTACTGTTTTATAGGGGTTCCCGCAACATCATCTCCAGTCTATAAAAGAAACTTCAAGGGGGCTGGAGAGGTGGCTCAGAGGTTAAGAGCACTGCCTGCTCTTTCAGACGTTCTGAGTTCAATTCCCAGCAACCACATGGTGGCTCACAACCATCCGTTATGAGATCTGGTGCCCTCTTTTGGTGTGCAGATATACATGGAAGCATATACATAATAAATGTTGTATACATAATAAATAAAATCTTAAAAAAAAAAAAAGAAACTTCAATTCTTTTCAGTTACCTCTGGGACTGAAGGTGGGACAAGTCAATGGTGGTGTCAGGATAATCCAGGTTGTCTTCCTCCTCACCCTTCATCTCATCAACGGGCTCTTCGTCTTTTGTAACTTCTTTGGATTCTCCATCTTCAGAGCTTTCTTCCTGTATTAATTCCTCACCTAATTCATCTCTGCCACTCTGAACAGCAGCATCCTCTTGACTGGCCTGAGTCAGGAGTTCTACTTCTACAGGAGTTCCATGTAAGTCTTCTTTGTCTTCCTCACTGCTGTCACCGGCTTCTGTAGAATTCCATAGAAAAGTTAGTATGCAAGTCCCAATGAGGCTGGATGATCCCAATGATTCCTAGGTTGCCCAAAAGGTCGCCAGAAAAATTCTTGGTCATCTCCACCATGTGTTATATGCTATTCTGACAAAAGGATAGTCCTTACATGACTTCCAACATCGTTTTACCACAGACGGACATCACTATTATTTCTGTAACAAACCTAACTGTCTGTCACAGCTACTTCCAAAAGGCAAGACAATAAAAGCAGTTGTATAAATTCTGCAGTTTTATTAATTTGTAAAAGAAAACCAACATACATTATATAACTAACTTCACACTTATGTGAAAAGAATGCTAATATTAGTAACTGGGTCCTATTGCTATCTTTCAAGGATTATTATGAAATTAAGTAATATATATTATTGTTCTTTATATCACTTTATGACAGGGAGGGACATGGTAGGCATCAATCAATAGAATCTAACAACACAGTAGTAGTTTTAAATTTAGCAATGCAATATGATTCCAACAATGAATGACCCTAGAAGAGAGAATAACTATAGAAGTAGTTCAGGGTACCCTTTCCCTAGGTTCCTTAGGGAGATAGGTCTCTCTACGTAAAGCAAATAAAAATCAACGAAAGCTGGGCATATAGGCTTATACCTGTAATATTAGCATTTGAAAACTGATTTTCAATGAGTCAGGATGACAGTCAAAAGCCTGGCCTGAACCAAAATTCCCATGTAAGAAATTATACTTAAGTCAGGCAGTGGTGGCACACACCTTTATTCACAGCATTGGGAGCAGAGGCAGGCGGAGCTCAGTGAGTTTGAGGCCAGCATGATCTACAGAGTGAGTTCCAGGACAGCCAGGATTGTTGCACAGAGAAACCCTGTCTCAAAAAACAAAAACAAAACAAAACAAAAATCATATTTGGTATAGATTCATCTTCCTATCATTTCTAACTCCTAAACCGGAACAGAAATGTTAATTCATATGTATCCAAGTTTATCAGTTAAATATATTTACAAGATATCCCATTAAATGTTCAAATTTTACCAAAAGTATTTTGATTATTTACCAACTTTTTTTTTTTTTTTTTTTTTTTTTTTTTTTTTTTTGCACACGGGTTTTTTTTTTTTTTTTTTGGTTTTTTTGGTTTTTTTGGAGACAGGGTTTCTCTGTGGCTTTGGAGGCTGTCCGGGAATTAGGTCTTGAAGATTAGGCTGGCCTCAAACTCACAGAGATTCGCCTGCCTCTGCCTCCCGAGTGCTGGGACTAAAGGCATGTGCCACCACCACCGGGCTTTTAATTAACTAGTTTTAATTCATCAGAATATTTCTTCAACCGTAGTACAAAAAAAAAAAAAAAAAAAAAAAAAAAAAAAAAAAAAAAAATTTTTAAAAAAAAAAAAAGAGCATATTTGGAGCTGGAGAGATGGCTCAGAGGATAAGAGTACTGGCTGCTCTTCCAGAGGGCCTGAGTTCAATTCCCAGAAACCACATGGTGGCTCACAACCATCTATAATAAGATCTAGTACCCTCTTCTGGCATGCAGGCACACATGCAGACAGAACACTGTATACATAATAAATAAATCTTTAAAAAAAAAAAAAGAGCATATTTAGTGTTTCCAGAAACAAAATTCAGTAAAATTGATACTACTTTGGGCTACTTTTGAAATTCTGGTTATCACAGAAGAGACACAATTTCTTCAGATTTAGAAATAAAACTAGAGAGTGAAAATCGCAAGGCTTGGCTAGATACCATGGTGAATTTTCTGTAATCCTATCACTGGGGAGACAAAGACAAAAGGACTGATGCAAGTTCAATGCCAGCCTGATCCATATGACAATTCTAGGCAAGCCAGAGCTACATAGTGCTATCTTTTCAAGATTAAAACAAAATCACAAGCTTGACTGGGAAGATGAAGATTCAGTTGGTAAAGTTCTTCCTTTCAGAAACAAGGATATAAGCTAGATTTGCAGAAACCACATGAGTGGAAGATCAGTAACAAACCAGGTATGGTGGCACGCACTTGTAATCCCAACAATGATGGTAAGGGATAGGCTCATTGGCCAGTCTTGCTAATCAGCAAGCTCCAGACCAGAAAGAAACCCTATCTCCAAAGAAAGTGGACAGTGCCTAAAAACACCCAGTGTTGTCTCTGGCTCCCCACACACGTGCACACAAACAAGCACACACAAATCACAAGTCAATTTATTATAACATGTCAATTACCTAGTTGTTCCATCTCTTCTGACATGAGTTCACTTGTGCAGCTTGTCAGTGTTTCTATGTCTTCATCCTGTGCTCTGACTTTTCGTTCACCTCGATGTCTCCAGATACAAGACTCATCTACCTGGAGAAACAGTTCTTCCTCACTGCTGAACTTTAGTAAGGGGATAAAATAAGCCCAAAGAAAGTGAAGAGTACCTTAAAAAGGAAGCTAAATCCCATCATTAGATATGAAGGAGGAAGAAAATTCTTTTTTCCTACAAAAGATAATACACATTAATACTATAAAAATCAGTTTTCTCCACATTTTGTCTGAAAATATTACATACCAATGATTAGACCCATTTTATCTTGTACCAGAACATAAGCACTTAAAATATTTACTATTATGTATAGGAATAGTTATATTATAACCCAACTATGTGAAATACATTTTCATCAGTAAATGTATGATGACAAATGCTGAATTTGCCATGCCGTGGCAAAAATTCCCTCATTTCCTAACAAAATTAGTATGTCCAATTATAGCAGTCCATTCTACTCAAGAATATCTATGATTCTTGCCTCCGTAATCCAAATTAGGGATAGTTTTCATGTTAACTGTTACCTCTTATCATGAAGCTTCCTGTTGTCAAATATTCTCCTGTTGGTGCTGTTTTAGACACCTGAGGAACACAACAATGTATTACATTCTTATCTAAAGAAATGACACAGGCTCTGTCATGGCAGGTTGGCCTTAAACTTGTAACTGAGGATGACCCTGAGTTCTAGTTCCTTCACCTCCTGAGCGCTAGGGTTACCACTGTACCTACCCTGCCTCCTATAAGTGGCACCTGGGATTAAGCCAGGGCTTTGTGCATGCTGGAAAGGCACTCTCCCAACTGAACTACATCTTCAGACTCTTAAGATGTTCTTTTAAGATGTTTTCTACTCAAGAGGAGGAAATAATCATATTCAAGCAAGCCATTTTAAGTCCTGAAAACTGCAATTTAGCAAAGATTCTCAACACTGCAGACACAGATTTAACTTTCCAATGACAGATATACTTGACAACATATATAAATGAAGAAATAACAAAAGATCTACTACTGCAATAAAATGCCATAGACTGGATTGGAACTAGCTTTTTCTTCCAGCATAGCATACAATGAGAAAGAAAAAAGCTTAGAATAAAACCTTACTGGAAGATAAAGTTACAGTCACTAAAATCCTTTTCTGGGATTCTTTTTGGTAGTAAAACAGCTATTTTTTTCCTTAAAAAATATTTTGAAAAAAAAATTTGTTGTTTCTTGAGACAGATTTTCTCTTTGTGTGTAGTCCCGGCTGTCCTGGAACTCACTCTGTAGACCAGGCTGCTGGCCTCAGACTCAAAAGAGTGCTGGGATTAAGGGATCTCCCACCATGACTGGCTTTGAAAGATTTTTAATTATGTCTGTGCCTGTGTGTGAGTATGTGCATGAGTGCAGGTGCCTGCTGAGTCCCAAAGAGAGGGTTGGATCCTCTGGAGTTTGTGTTACAGGTAGTTGTGAGCTGCTAATGTGGGTGCTAGGAATTGACCTTGGGTGCTCTGCAAAAGCAGCACACACTCTTTAACAGTCAAGCCATCTCTCCAGATCCCAAACTTTAACAATTTAATTTTGCGTGCGTGAGTGCGTGCGTGCTATAGAGATCAGAGGACAGCTTGCAACGAGTTAGTTCCCCTCCCACCATTTGGGTCCCAGAGACTGAACACAGGTCAACAGGCTTGATGACAAGGGTCTTTACTGACTGAGCCACTTCCCCAGCTGCTAAAATAGCTTTTGTAGAAGGAATTAACAGAATTTAAAAAAATGTAATTTGGGGGCTTGAGAGATGGTTCAGAGGTTAAGAGCACTGACTGTTCTTGCAGAGGTCCTGAGTTCAATTCCCAGCAACCACATGGTGGCTCACAAACACTTGAATGAGATCTGGTGCCCTCTGCTGGCATGCAGGCAGAAGACTGTATACATAATAAAATCCTTAAAAAAATTTTTTTTTAAAAATGTAATTTGGTAAAACAAAGTGAGGGAGCTTTGTTCCTAAAAATTTACACATTTGAGAATTCTCTAAACTTGAGTGTATCTTTATTAGTTATAAAGTTAGAAAACCATTATAGTTAATAGTAGAGGTATGAAGTATTTCCCTCAAGTATATTAATTTCCTAAAACCACCTTACAGAATAGCAAATAATATAAATATAAAATGAACTTCAAGGATGATATTTTTTAATCCTATCACATAATTTGTGATTCTTGTAGAATTAGTATATCATTATCAAATAGAATTCTTGAAAATGTGGATTTATTTGCAATGGGAAGTCAAATATGAAAGAATAATATCAAATAGCTGAGCTTGGTGGGAGGCCTATACTCCCAGCTACCTGGATGACGAAGGTGGGAGGCCTGAGAGTTCAAGTCTTATGTGGGATAGAAAGTGAGTTTAATGCCAGCTGGAGGAACTTAGATGTCATCACAAAATAAAAGAAATAAGGAGGGCTACGGGCACTTGCTTAGAATGCATGAATATCTAAGTTCAATTTCCCGTGCAGCAAAACAGGATCAAAAAGGCATACAACAAACAAACAAAACAGCACTGAACATAAAGAAGGCCAGTCATGGGGCTGGAGAGCTGGCTGAGTGGTTAAGAGCACTGGCTGCTCTTTAGAGGTCCTGAGTTCAATTCCCAGCAACCACAAGGTGGCTCACAACCATCTGTAATGAGATCTGGTGCCCTCTTTTCTGGCAAGCATAAATGCAGACAAAACACTGTATATACAATAAATAAATAAATCTTTAAAAAAAAAAAAAGGGAGGATACTCACTAAAACCAAGTGACTACACAAAATACAAGTTATACCTAGTTTCTGGAAAGGCAAAAGAGAATTCAGAAAATCTACTCAAGCCAGATGTGGTGCTGCACACCTTTAATCCCAGCACTTGGGAAGCAGAGGCAGGTGGATCATTGTGACCAGCCTGGTCTACATAGCAAGTTCCAGGCCAGCCAAGGCTACATAGAGAGACCCTCAAAAACCCAAATGAGAAATTTTGTTTTTTTCTTCACAGCAATTGCTACCTGGTATGCATATATTTTTCTCTACTGCTTAAACATCAACTTTATCAAGGTAGATACTTTGTCTGCCTTCTATATTCCAACCATTTGTAATGAGGTATAGCTCTTAAGAGATTAAGAAATGGACCACAGCCCTTATTACCTGATGATGGTACACCCACCAAGCACTAGTGATAACTCGTGCATCCCAAGCAGCACTGTAGCAAAGTGCCATTGTGCCTGCCTCAGTCAAAGTCCGTGGAGGGATGGGTTCTCCTATAACAGCAATGCTATGTTTTAATACCAAAGTACAGGGTTTCTACAGAGCAAGATGTCAAAGTTATAATTAGTACAACAGTTTCAATCATATAAATAAATATTTACTTCAAGATTCTACCTACCTACCTACCTGTAGTTCCAGGGTTAGGGACCAAAAGTTTTGTTTTATTTTACTTTATTTTTTTACACTTATTTGTGTGCACACACTCATGAGCACATGAAATAATGTAGTGTAACCACTATCACTATATAATTCCATAACATTTTTTAGCAACTCTCCAAATGCAACCTTCCAAAACTCAGCTACCTGCAATCACTAAGTTACTTTCTGTCCCTATTTTGTCAAGTTCAGATAAATGGAATTATATGCAGCCTTTCATTTAGCCTAGAGGTCTTCCTGCCTCTGCTGAGATTATAGATCGGATCTGCCACACCTGGCTTTCTTTACTTTAAAATTTTACAGATTTTACCTATTGCCTTCTCTATCTTGGTAAGTGTATTATGCAGAAAAGCCAGGGCTTCATGCACATTAGAAAAGTACTGTACCACTGAGCCATAGCCCCTATTTCTTTCTTTCTTTTTAAAGATAGGGTCTTACATAGCCTAGGCAGGCCTCAAGCTTGCTCTGTAGCTGAGGGTCACCCTGAATTTCTGATTCTTTCCCCTCTGCTTCCTGAATGCTAGGATTATAGGCCTGTACCATTACACCTGGTCTATGTGGCACTGGAGATTAATGCATGTTAGGCAAGCACTCTACTAACTGACTACATCCTCACATCCCTTATTTTATTCTTTTTTAAATTTTATTCTGCCTGGTTTATCAGTTTATTCATTGTCAGCTGTGGTGGTTTCAGTGAGATGCCCCTCCACAAATCTCAGGCATTTGAATACATGATTCTCAGTTGGTGGCTGTTTGGGAAGGATGGGGTGGGGTGTGTGTGTCAGTGTAACCTTTTTGAAGGAGGTGTGTCACTGGGGATGAGCTTAAGATTTCAAAAGCCCCCTGCCTCCCCAATGTACTTGCTGATTGCTGTTTGTGGATCTGCATGTGAGCTCTCAGCTGTTGCTCCAGTCACCTGCTACTATGCCTTTGGTGACATCTATCATCAAAAACTTTTTTTTTTTGTTTTTTGTTTTTCAAGACAGGGTTCCTCTGTTTAACAGTCCTGGCTGTTCTGGAACTCACTCTATAGACCAGGCTGACCTCAAACTCACAGAGATCTGCCTACTTCTGCTTTCCAAGTATTGGGATTAAAGGCATGCACCACCACTGACTGGCTAGTCAAAAACTCTTAACCTGGAAATTTCAGTCTAAATTAAGCTCCTTAGTAAGTTGCTTTGGTCATGGTGTTTTAATCACAATAATAGAGAAGTAACTAAGACACCAGTATACAGAAATACAATGTATTTTCTTTTCTTTTTTTTGATACAGAGTCTCACATAGCCCAGGCTGGTTAAGAACACCTGATTCTCCTGGTCTACTTCACAACTGCTGGAATTGCAGGCCCATGCCACCATGCTTAGTTACAAATTATTTGTGTACTCATCACAGGCTGTGTGAACATTATTGCTTGCTTATTATAACTCTAAAATTCTGGTAACGTCCATATTTACATATGTATATATAAAAGGCAAGGGTGGGCCTGGTGGCAAACAAGGCAGAGGCAAGTGGATATCTGAGAGTTTGAGGCTGGCCTGGTCTACATAGTAAGTCTCCACATATAGAGACCCTGTCTCCAAAAACCAAAGTAAACACACACACACACATAAGACAGTTTGGGTCAGGAGTTTTACTTCTCGTCAATTTGAAGATTCTGAATTTCATTTTATTGTGGTTTAGTTTGGATTTCTACTTCTATTGCTGTGATAAAACACCAAGACCAAAAAAAAAAAAAAAAAAAAAGCAGCTTGGGGGGGAAAGGGTTTACTTGGCTTATATATCCAGTGTCACAGTCCACTGAGAAGTCAAAGCAGGAACTCAAACAGGGCAGGAACCTGAAGGCAAACTTGAAGGAGAAGATGCAGAGGCCATGGAGTGCTGCTCATCCTACCTTTCTCAGCCTGCTCTTTTATAGCACCAAGGAACTCCAGCCCAGGGCTACCCCACCCACAATGGGCTGGGCCCTCTCACATCAAGTGACTTATTCTAATGTCAAAATCTCACTATAGAGTCTAGTCTTGCCTGAAATTTGGAGATCCTGCTGCCTCAACCTCCAGAGAATTGAGATTTCATATGTGCATGACCACACCCAGCTTACCAAATGGTTTTTCTACATCAATTGTAGAAACCCTGGAATAAAGCACATGTTGTATAACCCTTTCAGTATGCTGCTAGATTCAGGCTGTTCACACCTTGTCAAGGATTTCTGTGTCTGTACTCTAAGTGATGCTGCTGTTTTTCTAGTGATGTACTTAACTGGTTTTATGACTAGGAAATACCGGCTAACAGAATGAATCAGGAAGTATTCCCATCTCTCTTATTAGGGAGGAATAGTTTTTAAAGCACTAGTATTTTTTTTATAATAAAAGATTACTATAGTTAATCAATTAAGGTATCTGAGTCTGGGATTTTCTTTTATCTTTGTGTATGTTTTGTTTTTTCAACACAGGTTTCTCTGTGTAGCCTTAGCTGTCCTAGAACTTTTGTTTTAACTCACAGAGCAAAACTTTGGCCTTTAACTTACAGAGATCTGCCTGCCTCTGCCTCCTGATTGCCAGAATTAAAGGCATGCATCAATATTGCCTAGCTGGAATTTTATTTATTAAGTGTTTTAATCTCTTGTTATGAATTTCTTTCAATCTTCTATTTCTTCTATCATCTGATCTATGTAGCCAAATGTTCTCTGGATAGTTGTTAGACAATGTTCTAGAGACAGGTTTAGTTATCAATCTATTCAAGTGTTCTATTTCCTTGTTAATTGACTGTTTAATTGTTCTATTCATTTTCGATGTTGACATTTCCAAATATTACTGTGTGTACCCATGTCTACCCACCCCATTACTGTATGGTTTTCCTTCTTGTATTAGAAGACACAATTGCCAGACACAGATGTTATGACTCTCACACTCACAGAATGTTCACATACCATTATAATCTTTCTTCATCTCTTTTTTGTTTGCAGTACTGGGAGCTGAATATCCTTGCTTATCAGGAACATTAAAAATGTTTTCAGGAGGCCAAAGAGATGGTTTATCAGTTAAGAATGCACACTATTCTGGCAGAGGACCCAGAGCCAGTCCCCAGAGCCCAACTGGCTATGTCTCTATGACTGTGACTCTACCCAGGGGATTCAACACTCTTCTGGACACAATGGGCACTTGCATAAATGATCACATGCACACATAAGCACACAGAGGCACGCACACACATACATAACTGAAAATAAAAAACAATGTTAAGGAAGGAAAACTCCAGATATTTGAATTAAATTACCTGTTGGATTCTTAATCACACAACTGGTAGCTCCATGAAGATCAGCATGGACATAAATGTCTCCTTGAGAAAGACAAATGGGAAATGATACTTTAGGTCCTATTTTTTTGTTTTTTGGTTGATTGGTTTTTGTTTTGCCTTCTTCTATATTTTTACTTTATTTTAAAATTTATGTTCATGATTGTTCTGCCTGCATGTGCAACTGAACTACCTGCATGTGGTGCCCACAGAAGCCTGCTTCTTTCCTGTTTTTGAAACAGGGTCTCTTTATGCTACTTAGGTTATTCTGGAACTTCTGGGGTCAAGTAGTCCCCTTGATTTAGCCTCTCTAGCAGCTGTAACTACAAGCATGCACTACACACCCAGTCTGAAAACTGGACAAATGGTCACAAACCTTAGCACCTGAACACCAAGCTTTAAATGTTTGACCTACCATCACTTGGAAAACTGGAAACTTTTTGTAAATACAGCAAAGGATGAGAAGTCCAACAGCACAGACTAGCTCATCAATAGTACCTTTGCAATACCCACTTTAACAAGAAGCAGCAAAGACTTCTTCAATAAATTGTAAGCCACAGCATTAAACCTCTAATTCTTCTGTCAAATAAGAGTACAAGATGAAAACCAGTGCCTACTAGTGAGATAACTGATAAATGTTTTAAGAAAAAATGTCACAGGTTTTAAGCTTACCTGGTGTCAAGTATCTTTTCACAATGATCTCATTCTGTTGCTGATCTCGACCACCTATAATTAGATAGTTCTCTGAGCTAATGAACCACAGAAATTTCTCAAACCTATCAAATTGAGAAAAAATAAAGTTAACATTTTTTTCTTTTTAAAATATATTTATTTTTATTTAATTGGTGTTTTGCCTGCATGTATGTCTGTGTGAGGGTGTCAGGTCCCCAGGAACTAGAGTTACATACAGTTGTTAGCTGCCATGTGTGTTCTGCGAATTGAACCTATGTTTTTATGACATTAACAAAATGTCAAACGATAAAGATATCAGGCCAGAAAATAGTAGTAATGGTGCATTATGTGTGTGTGCATGCTTGTGTGTGTGTGTATGTATAAAACTATAAGTTATGGAAAGATTGAACTAAAGATACAAAAAAGATAGATCATGTACACACTAATGAAAAAAAGCCCAACTAGACTAAGAGTTCCACATTTGTATCAATTATAGCCTCATATAAAGCAAAAGTGGCAGAAAAGGAAAAATGGACAAATCCACAATTACATTAAGTTCTTAAGTAAAATTATTATAAACTTTCCAAGAAAAACACTGCTTACTAAAACTAGAGAATCTAAACAGTAAAATTCTTATATTTTTGGTTGTGAGCCTAGCCTTTAACAGCTGAGTTATCCCTCCAGCCCTAAACAGCAAAATTCTACAAAGAAAGTCAGGCATAGTGGGGTGATACAGGCCTATAATCTAGAGTATTCGGGAGGTCGTAGCAGGAAAATTGCAAGTTCAAGGCCAGCCTGGCTTACACAATGAGTTCCAGATCAGTCAAAGATAGACAGATTGACCTTGTCTAAAAAGAAAAAAAAAAAAAATCCAAATTTGTAACAGAACCCTGCCCCCCACAGGGTTTCTTTGTGTTGCCCTGGCTGTCCTAGAACTCACTCTAAAGAGCAGGCTGTCCTCAAACTCACAGATCCACTAGAGTGCTGGGATTAAAGGTGTGACCACCATACCATGATTTTGAAACACCTCCCTATAAGGAAAACTTCAGGACTACTCCATTTTACAGGTAAATTCAATCCACATTTAAAGCAACTCCAAAAAGAACATTTCTAGATTATTTTATGAGGCACCATGACCTTGATGTGATTACCTGAGAAGAACACTACAAAAAACGAAAATTATAGGTAAATCTGATCAATTTAGAGATGTAATCAAACTAAGCAGAAAGGAAAGAAAAACAAAGAAAGTAACAAAAACTTGATAAACGAGAAACAATCATACTCAAGAAGCTGAGTCCTAAAATGACACTAGAACCCAGGAAAACAACAACTTTTGCAATATAAAACTCAAAAATGTCTACATAAATCAGATGTGGTAGCACAAATTTTTAAAGGCTGAGTCAAAAGGATCACAAGTTCAAGGCTAGTCTGGGTTACACAGGGAAACCCTGTCTCAAAACAAAGAAAAGTAGCAATTTAAAGAAATAGTTTTAAATTGGGGGGACTGGAGAGATGACTCAGAGGTTAAAAACACTGACTGCTCTTCCAGAGGTCTTGAGTTTAATTCCCAGCAACCACATGGTGGCTCACAACCATCTATAATGAGATCTAGTGTCCTCTCCTTGCCTGCAGGCATACATGCAGGCAGAACATTGTATACATAATAAATAAAAAATCTTAAAAAACAAACAAACAAAAAGGATTGGTTAAAAGTCTGCTCAAATAGTTTTCTGTCTTCTTTCCAGCACTAAATATGTAGTCCCCCTTTCTCATGCCAATAGAAGGCGAGGGAACATACATAGCATACATTAAGCAGAAATAAAACAGAAACAATGAATGTCTAACATAATGGATGCTACCACTCCTGGCCATGTACTGTTCCCAATGGGCTCCTTAGATTGTGACGGCCAAGTCTTCACCTTACAAGCAGGACAGGAAAAAAAACAAAAACAAAAACAAAAACGTTTTGCAAGATGAGAACAAATAAAAGGATAAAAAACTAAAGACAACAGTTAACACAGATCATATCACAAGCCAACCAACCTGAGAATATCTCATTAGCATTTTAATATCCTACTCTGAAATGTGAGTGACAAACAGGGAGCACCAGATATGAATGGATGTCTCTACTATGAAAACTGGAGGGGGGGTGTATATAATTCTAAGGTTACGGAGTTATAGTCATTGAGGCTGAACAAATTTGTAGATCTAATGTTCAACATGAGGACTATAATTAATAATTAGAATTGTAATGTCAGGTGTGGTGGTGCACACCTTTTATCCTAGCACTGGGTGTCGGGGCAGAGGTAGGTGGCTCTCTGTGAGTTCTAGGACAGCCAAAGCTGCACAGTGATACCATGTCAAGACAGAGAGACAGAGGGAAGAGAAAAGGAAAAGAATTAACTTATTGTACCCTGGAAAATTGCTGAGAGTATTATCAACAAACAAAATTGGCACTGATGGAACATAATAGATAAGACACTTCCCTTTTATACCTCTCTTTACATTTATGCATCTAGTGTCTGTGTGTGTATGACCACATGTAAGTGAAGGTCAGAGAGCACCTTGTAGGACCATGGTATATGAGGGTTCCTTAAGCTTAGGCTCAGATTATCAGCAACAACCTTTACACCCACGGAACCATCTCACCAGCACCTATGTTTTGAGCCAGGATCCGCTCTGAAGACTTGGCTGGCCTAGTACTTGTTCTTGAGTCCAAGCTAGTTCACAAACTCATGGCAAATCTTCAGCCTCAGTTTCCAAACTGCTGGGGTTACAGGCATGTACCACCACACTAAGCATATGGTGGATATGCTTGGATGTGATAATCATTTCACTATGCATGTAATATATGAAAACTTCATGTTGTATACTTTAAAATACATACAATAAAATAAAATTTAACCCCTTAGAGAAGATATAATTGATAGGGCCAAACCCCCCCCAAAAAACAAAAAAACACCATATAGAGTGTGGGGATCAATTCCCAGCATTTGGTCTATAGAGTCAGGAGGATTGCTCTAAGTTATAGTCCATCCTGGTCTACCTAATGAATTTCTAGGAAGCTTGTGCTACAGAATAGGACTCTATCAACAAACAACAACAAACAGTAATACATAAATCAGAGCTTCTACAGCAAGTACTTGGAGAAGCCAACCAACCAAGCAGCTCTTAAAACATGACCAGAGGTTACGGAGACTACTCAGCCAGTAAAGTACTGCACAAGAACCTTAGTTTGGAGCCCCAGTACCCATGTTAAAAGCAAGGAAAGGCAGCACACATCTGTAACACCAGTGCAGAGAGAGGGTGAGGGGAGGGGAGAGCGATCTAGAGGCTTGATGGGCAGCTGGTCAAGTCAAAATGCAGAGCTCCAGAATCAGTGAATGGTCCTGTCTCAAAAAGTAAGTTAGAGAGGCCAGGTGTGATGGCGCACACCTTTAATCCCAGTACTCAGGAGGCAGAGGCAGAGGTAGGCACATCTGTGAGTTCAAGACCAGCCTTGTCTACTTAGTGAGTTTCAGACCAACCAGAAATACAATGGAAGACCCTGTGTCACAAAAAACAAAACAAAACAAAACAAAAACCAAAAGTGGAGAGCAACAGAAGTCTCCTGACTTCTCTTGTACACAGCTGTGTGCACATACAATAGAGACAGGTCAGATAAGAAATTCTGTGGAAGGACTGAGAAATAAAGTTGAAAACATCACTCAGGATGTACAGAAAGCAGGCAGAATTGAAAATTGGAAAAATGCAAGAAAATTGGCAGACCCATTCAGAAAATTTGTATGCAAAACACAGAAAAGGAATACATGAGTAGAACTATAAAATAAAGGGGTCAGAAAGATGACCGAGTGGGTAAAGGCATTTGCCTTTGAGTTCAATCCCTACATAGACGATGAGAACAGATTCCCACAAATTGTCCTCTGACCTCAACAGGAATGCCAGCTCCCACACACAAGTGTACACACCCACACACACACACACACACACACACACACACACACACACACACACACACACACACACACACGGAGAAAAAACTATCTCAGAACTTATGTTTCCAAACTAAAAGGGCTCAAAAAGTATCCAGTATGACAGACTAAAACATTTTCACTAACTCATATCCATGAATTCTAAAGGGAAAAGCTATGAGGGGAGGGAGGTGAGAAAGAGCTCTACATATTGCAGAAGGCACAGACAAGTTGTACACAAAGCATCAACTGCTGGGATGACTGAGGAGCCAGAGCTAAAGCTCAGGCTGTAGGCAGATTGCCAAGTGCATCCAAGATCAAGGGTTGGAGACCTGGGGGTGAAAGGCAGACCACGATAAGGATGTGTGTGTGTGTGTGTGTGTGGGGGGGTGTTCACTAAAGCTGGAAGACTGCTTGAGCCTAGATGCTTAAGACCAACATAGGCAGTAAAATGAGACCTCACCTCAAAAACAAAAACAAGCTGGGGGGAGGGGAACAGTGTGTGTGTGTGTGTGTGTGTGTGTGTGTGTGTGTGTGGTGGCACATGATTTAATCTCAGCACTCAGGAGGCAGAGGCAGGCGGATTTCTGTGAGTTCAAGGCCAGCTGGTCTAGAGAGTGAGTTCTAGGACAGTCAAGACTACACAGAGAGACTCTGTTTCAAAAAACCAAAACCCAAAACCAACTAACTAAACAAACAACCAAAAGCCAAAACCACCCTCTCCCCACTTCAAAAAAAACATGAAGCTATTACAAGCTACTGCAGAGAGAGACAGGAGTATACAAAAGTCTGACCTAAAAAAGCTAAATGTAGGGGCTGGAGAGATGGCTTGGGGTAAATGTACTTGTAATCCAACTTGTTCAATTCCCAGGACCCATAGGGTGGAAAGAGAGAAACAACTCCTAAAAGTTGTCCTCTGACCTCCATATGTGCTCCATGGCACATTTCCCCATTTACATACCCACACAATAAATAAATGAATAGGCAAATAAATAGAAAGAGCTATAACTAAAAAGTAGTTTCCTTGGGAGAACAGGCAATGGGATAAAAATGAAGAATAAATAATAGGACTACTGGTTTTATAGCTAGCTCTGTATAATTGCTTGACTTTCCAAATAATATACACATATAATTCAGATAAAGAGAAAAACTAAACTTTAAGAGCAGAACAGGGGGCTGGGGAGATGGCTCAGAGGTTAAGTGCACTGACTGCTCTTCCGGGGGTCTTGAGTTCAATTCCCAGCAACCACATGGTAGCTCACAACCACTTTGAATGAGATCTGGTGCCCTCTTCTGGCCTGCACATGCAGGCAGAAGACTGTATACTTAATAAATAAAATCTTTAAAAAAAGAAGAGCAGAACACTTACCAATATACTTTTCTTGCCTTCTGGATAGAAGTCACTGTTTGTACTTCTTTTAAGGTTTGCTTCGTTTTCTTTTCTGCTGATTTGAACGCCTATTTATTTTAAAAAGTTTTAGTAATTTTAGGATGTATTTACATAACATCAAAGCACACAATGGCAAAACAAATTGCTTTAGACAGCTTTCACTAGAGACCAGCCTCGGCTGGTCTCTAACTCACAAATATCCTCCCGTTTTAGCCTTGTGGGTTATAGGAATTTGCCACCACACCTGGCTTAAGAAATAGTTCTTATGGGCCCATGAGATGGTTTAGTGGGTAAAGGACCTGCTGCCAAGCCTGCTGACCTGAGTTTGATCCCATGTGCCTACAAGTTGTCCTCTAATTTCCATATGTGTACTATGTGCAAAAAAATAACAGAAAAAAATATTTTATGTCATAAAGTGACTTGATTTGTACACAAGTACACGTATAATGGAAAATAAAAGATTTACCTAAGAAATAAAATGAATCATATATTTACTTTACGAAATTTTTTTTTTGGGGGGGGGAGTTGAGAAAGGGTTTCTCTGTGGCTTTGGAGGCTGTCCTGGAACTAACTCTTGTAGACCAGGCTGGTCTAGAGCTCACAGAGATCCGCCTGCCTCTGTCTCCCGAGTGCTGGGATTAAAGGCATGTGCCACCAACGCCCAGCGCTCTACACAAATTTTTAGCACCTACAAATTAAGAACTTTCTTGTTGCTGGGAATGGTAGTGTACTCCTATAACCCCAGCACCTGAGAGACAGAGGCAAGAAGATCCAGAGTTTGAGGCTGGCCTGGATATACAAGTGTGAGGCTAACCTGTATTATAGAGGCTAGATCAATGAAGTTACTCATTTAATAGAAATTAAAGCCTCTACTTTGTTCTAGACAATCTCTAGAGACTAGAATGCAACAACGAACAAACCAGCAATGATAATTTTTGTTGTTGTTGTTCTTGTTTTGTGCTGCTTCACAATGTAGGTCTGGATAGCCTGGACTCATCATGTAAACCTCACTATGTAGACCAGGGTGGCTTTGAATTCACAGCGTTCCACCTGCCTCTGCCTCCCATGTGCTGGTATTAAAGTCCTGTGCCACTACACCTGGCAACAATTATACTTTTATGGGCTTGCTTACATTTTAAAGGATAAACAGACAAATATTCAAATAAAAATTTTGTTTTGATTTATAAAGACAGGGTTTCTCTGTGTAGCTTTGGAGCCTGTCTTGGAACTTGCTCTGCAGAGCAGGCTGGCCTCAAACTTACAGAGATCCACCTGCTTCTGCCTCCCAAGTGCCGGGTGGGACCAAAGGTATGTGTTATCACGCCCGGCTTCAAATAATTTTATATCACTTGAGGAGTTAAGAAAAACAGTAGATTGAGGGCTGCATTATTTTTAGCATAAATGGTCAGCAAAGGCTTCTCTGATGTCTCACTTAGTCAGCCATGTAAATGAACAAACAGAGGGATAAAACCTTGAAAATCTGAGGGCAGATCATTTCAGCTAGGAAGACTAGCAAGTGCAAAGATCCTGAGAACAGCAGTGCACTATGGTTTCAGAACAGCTAGGATTCCAGTGTAGCCAGAAAGAGCATGTGATGATGAGGTAAAAAGGAAACAGGACATACAGGGTTCATAGCCAAGAAAACAGCTCTCAACTGTATTAAGATGGGATGAAACTGGAAGCTTTTGAGTGGAGGAAAGAATGATGGAGTTAGTTTGTGGCTGCTAAGCTGAGAACAGACTGCAACGGGAGAAAAGGTTTACCCATGTGTATACAGATAACCAAGGACTAAACCAAAGGAAAATTTGTTCAAATTCTGCTTACACTGTGTGTGTGTGTGTGTGTGTGTGTGTGTGTGTGTGTGCATGCACGCACCATGGTCTCAAACTCACCATTCAGCTTAGGATGACCTTGAACTCATAACCATTCTGCCTCTACTTCCCAAGTCCTAAAATTACAGTCAAGTGATACAGTATCCAGTAGGTTCTGGTTATACACTAAATTGAGAAACAAAAGAATGTGGGACTGGCAAGATGGCTCAGGGGGTAGAAATACTTGATTCAGACAGGCGGTAGTGGCTCATGCCTTTCACCAGGGAGGCAGAGGCAAGCAGATCTCTGTGAGTTTGAGACCAGCCTGGTCTAGAAGAGCAAGTTCCAGGACAAGCTCCAAAGCCACAGAGAACCCGTCTCAAAAAAACAAACAAACAAAACAAAACAAAACAAAAAAGCAAAATTATAGCTGTTATAGCTGAAAGAGATTTCTAAATCAGAAAACCCCACTTAAACAGAAAAAGTCATTAAAGCTGCAGAAAACAATAATCATTCTATCAAGTTACCTTCTCAGCAGCTTCAACCGTCCTCTGTGTTTTTTTAGCAGCATATCTCTTATGATCATAATATCTAGAAAAATAAATCTATATTAAATATTAAGTAAAATCTTTCTTTAGTTTTTATTTTTAATTCTACAGTCCCAGGTCATATAGCACCAAGTTGTATAGAGCACACAATTTTTACCAAAAGAAGTATATTAATGTGTTCTGTAGCAAATTCCTACAAATTGAAACATTCCCTTCCAGGAGGGGGTTGCTAAGAGACCCAAGAAGTGAACACACTTCACCTGTAGCCTGCAGTAAGGTGCATCAGGATCTCCTCCAGGTTAGAGGAGCAGTAACAACTGCTGGAGGAGGAGACTGCCAGCTGGACTTCAAGAGATCCCTTGGAACTGTTGAGGCATCTCTAACTTGAGCACAGGGCTCCAGATGACAGTTTTCCTGAGGCATCACCTTTGCTGAAGTGGGCTTTTCACTGACACAACTGCGTTATCTTTGCTCCTCTAAGTCACTCACTGCTTCCCTAAGTGAGACTGCAGTGCAACCATTACCTTAGTCTGTTGTGGATTCCTTTTCTGGGTGAAAAGGGGTGGGTGTGTGTGTGTGTGTGTGTGTGTGTGTGTCTGTGTGTGTCTGTGTGTGTGTGTGTGTGTCTGTGTGTGTCTGTGTGTGTGTGTGTGTGTCTGTGTGTGTCTGTGTGTGTGTGTGTGTGTCTGTGTGTGTCTGTGTGTGTGTTAGACTTTGGTCTGTTGTGGATTCTCTTTCTGGGGTGAAGAGACATATATCAAGGAGAGTCTCTCATACAACAGGCAAAATGACACCTGTTCTTAATATCCGACTGATTTCCACAGGTAATATTTTACAAAGAATTTATAGTTAGGGGAGAAATATGAGTCATCAGTTAAGAGCACTGCTGCTCCTCCAGAGGACCCTGTTTGGTTCCTGTTACTCATACTGCTGCTCAAAACCATCTGTAAGTCCAGTTCTAGGGGACCCGATGCCCTTTTCTGGCTGGCCCCAAGCACACACTGGTGCACATACTGCATACAAGTGAAATAAAAGCTAAAGAGAATTAATAGGTCATTGGCTTACTTTTTGGCATTGGCATAGGCTGACAGGCTGAGATCCACATCGACAAGCAGTGGCTTGTTTTTCTGAGGCTTCTGCAGCTGCTTGTTCTTTTGCTTTTTCTTTTTCCCTTTTGGTGGTTCAGCATCACTGACCTCAACACTGGCATCACCATCATCATCTTCCTCCTCTGATAACAAGTATGGATTTCTATTAAAAATATTCAATAGTATTTCACTAATGTCAATGACATCACTTCTCATTTTAAATTTTCCTCAATAAAATTAGAAATGATTTAATTATATATTTCCTATTTCTAAGAATTCCCAAAGAAAAAAATTAAAAGAATACAATGAGCAATTAACAAAATAAAAGCAAGCACTAACTGGTAAGGCGCACACTTACCGTAGCAGCATTGTAACATGGTTTGTTTGCAGTTTTAGTTCTTTGATTGCACTTGCAACAGGGTCTCCTTGAGCTTGTGCTTCTTTCACAATCACGCCAATTTCTGTCCAGTCTATCTGGTTGGCTAATGCACTTCGGACTACCTGAATGGCTCTGTCGACTATCTGCAGGTTCATCTCTATTAGCTCTCCTTTCAGTTTGTCTATTTCCTTAAGAAACAAATCAAATGTATTTAGTATAATGCCAGCTGAGATTATCATAGTCAGAAAAGACTTGGAAAAGCTAGGCATAATACCTGAGCCTGCTGAAGAGCTTCTAATCTGTTCTCATGATCCTTTCGAACATTATCTAATTTCTTCAGTGCTTGTTTTTCCTTTCAGGAACAAAACGGATTTTTCAAAAGTTAGATTTCTTTCAACGCACAGCACTTCTACCTCTCATTTCCTAAAACTTATTGTCCTAATGGTTCCTCTACCTATCAATGATGTCACACAGGCAGCTTAAAGTTTCCCCACAAGCTGGGCATGGTAGCACACCTTTAATCACAGCACTTGGGAAGTAGAAGCAGGCAGATCTCTGAATTCCAGAACAGTCAGCACTACACAGAAAAACCCTTGTCTTATTGGGCGGTGGTGGTGCATGCCTATAATCCTTGCACCTGGGAGGCAGAGGCAGGATCTCTGTGAGTTCGAGGACATCCTGGTCTACACAGCTACCCAGAGAAAGGAAACCCTGTCTCGAAAAACCAAAAAGAAAAAGAAAAAGGAAAAAAAAAAAAAAAAAAAAAAAAAAAAAAAAAAAAAAAAAAAAAAACAAACCCTATCTTGAAAATCCAAAAAGAAGTTTCCCCATAGTTCACTCCCTCAAGTCTTACCTCTAAAAACATCATACTGAGAGATAACCTCTCTCTACCTCCCAGTCCCTGTATAGAACGTGCACTTTGGTTACAAGAAAACTATATATAAAGCACTATCCCAATCCCCTTGGCATTATTCAAACAAGCAAAAATCTAAGATTTTTATAAGTTTTTCTTTCTTATGTAGCATTAGAGATCAAACCCAGGTCCTCATGCATACAAAGAAAGCACTCTACCATTGAATTAGATCAGTAGCTCCAAATGAAATTTTTTAAAAATTTATTTTAGTTGTGTGTGTGTAAATGTATACTTGATTACAGGTGCCTATGTAGGCCAAAGAGGACACTGGATCCCCTGGAAGTGGAGTCAGAGGTGATTTTGAGCAGTCCTTTGTTGGTCCCAGGAACTAAATTTGTGTCCGCTCCAAGACAGTATGTACTCTTAACAAATGAGTTCTCTCCACATCCTCATAAATTCTTTTTGTTTGTTTTTTCCAAGACAGGTTTTTCTCTGTGCAACAGCACTAGCTGTCCTGGAACTCTCTTTAGACCAGGCTGGCCTTAAACTTACAAAGATGTGCCTGCCTTTGCCTTTGGAGTGCTGGGGATTAAAGGCGTGCACCAGTGCCACCCAGCCAACCCCCTCCCCCATTATCATCCAACTAGCCAAATTCTTACATAAAATATGTATTTAAAGACTTTATTTTCATTTATGTGTGTGCATGTGTGGATTTCTGTATGTGAGTGTAGCACCTATGAAGTCCAGAAGAGGCTTCAAATTCCCTAGTATTAGAGTTAGAGGCAGTTGTGAGCCTCTCAGCATGGGTGCTGGGAAACGAAGTTGGGTACTCTGGACAGGCATTATGCATATTCTTACCCATTAAACCATCAATGTAGTCTCCCAGTAAGTTCTTTAAAAGTATAAACTGGGGGCTGGAGAGATGACTCAGTGATTAAGAATACTTGCTTTTCTTCCAGAGGACCCAGGTTTAGTTCCCTGAATTTATATGGTGACTCACAACCATCTGTAACTCCAGTTCCATGGAATCTTGATACCCTCTTTTGACCCTTCATTGGCAGCAGGCACACATGTGATACACATACACGTTGGCAAAACACTTATACACATAAAATGAATACATCTAAAATCAACTTTTTCTCTTCTTTCTTCAAGACAGGGTCTCATTATGTAGCCCTGGCTGTCCTGGAATCCACTCTATAGACCAGGCTGACCTCAAACTCAGATAGATCTGCCTGCCTCTGCCTCCCCAGTGCTGGGATTAAGGACATGTGCCACCACCACCCCATTAAAATCAACTTTATAAAGGCACAAATTAATTATTTAAATGTTGGACAAAATTGTTAAAAGATTTAATTTTTAAGAATGGTAACTATTAAAAGTGATTACCACAAAAAGTTGTTGGTATAGATTGAGAGTCCTTAAACCTGTGTTTGGTACCAGAAGTATTTCATATAATGAAGTTGTTTTGGATTTTGGAATACCTTATCCATACTACCAGATGTGCAGCCCTAATATAAATATCTGAAACCCTTTCAATATCATTGTGTTGATCTAGCTGCTTATAAATTGGTGCCCTAATGCAGTGGGGATAGGTACGCGACAAAGGTACACACATGGAGGCAAAATATTCATACCTATAAAACAAATAAATCTAAATATTAAAAATCTAAATAATAACTAAAATAGTGAGTTTTGCTGTGCATGCCTTTAATCCCAGCACTTAGAAGGCAGAGGCAGGTCAATCTCAGTGAGTTTCAGGATAGCCAGAGCTATGTATAGACCCTGTCTCAAAAAAATAAAAAAATATAATAATATTAATGAGTATTCTTGTTAAACATCTGTTCTCTAGCCAAAGTGCTGCCATCATGTGGCAATTCCATGATGCAATTTATTTAACTACATGCTTGGAAACTGTACTATTTTAAAACAGAAGGGAAGAGTATATAAGCATCCATATAACTTGAAACTTTGCACAACTAATTTTTTAAAAGATTTATTTATTTATTATGTATACAATGTTCTGCTTACATGCATGCCTATATGATAGAAGAGGGCACTAGATCTCATTACAGATGGTTGTGAGCCACTACATGGTTGCTGAGAATTGAACTCAGGTCCTCTGGAAGAGCAGCCAGTGCTCTTAACCTCTGAGCCATCTCTCTAACCCCTTAACTCTCTTTTTGATAACAACTTTTTATTTTTTGAAACTACATCATTTCCCCTTTCCCTCCAGCCCCTCCTATGCACCCCCTTTGCTCTTTTTCAAACTCACAGCCTTTCTTTCAACCATTGTTATACACACTCCACCCCCATGCCAAATACAAAAATACAACATGTTCAGTCCACATAATACCACCAGTATGTATATGACCTCAGTGCTGCCCCCTGGGATTAGACACCAATTCAGGGGTTTTTCCTGGGGGAGACCATTTCTCCCATTCTCAACATTCCATAGTTGCCATAGTTCTTTATCTGGGGTTGAGGCCCTATGGCAACTTTTTGTTGTTGTTGTTTTTTGTTTTTTTATACAGGATTTCTCTGTGTAGCTTTGGAGCCTATCCTGGCACTTGCTCTGGAGACCAGGCTGGCCTCAAACTCACAGAGATCCACCTGCCTCTGCCTCCTGAGTGCTGGGATTAAAGGCGTGCGCCACCAATACCTGGCTGGCAAAAATTTTTTAAAAAATCAAATCTCTTCCAAATTAAAAGTGACTTTGGGATATATTGTATGAGAGAAGAATAAATAAAAATTAGAAAGGAAAAAGAAACATATCTATAGCACACGCTCTAAAAACATGGTCAAATATGCTGAAAAATGGTGCATATAAAATCCTCATTGAGGAGTCATCACACAGAACAGACAAGGACCTAGCTTTAAAGCAGCTTAAGAAAAGCAACACAGTTTACAATGAAGACACAGTACAGAAAATACATTTTTCCCTCTGGTCCATGTAACATGTTCCTTATAATGTAGATTCATAATGTTCAGGTTTGAGAAGCTCCGCATTGATTCAAATTTGCTGAGTCATACTAGGGTATATAATAGGCTAATGCTCCCACTAGATTCCATTGCCTTTAGAAAGATGTGAAGATGGAATAAAAGCGAGAGGATGGAGTGAGGGCATACTTCTCAATAAGACTCCTCTGGGCTTTTATCATAAACTAAGAGAGGGGAAGGTCATGGGGGCATGCATATGCCTTCAATCCCAGATCTCCAAGTTTGAGGCCAACTTGGTCTAAATATCGAGTGTCAAGACTAGCCAGGATTGCAGTGAGTCCCTATCTCAAAAACAAAACACTTGGGATGGAGAGATGTTCAGTGGTTAAGAGTTAAGAGCACTTACTGCTCTTCCAGAGGACTATTCAGTTCTCAGCATCCACATAATGGTTCATAACCATCTGTAGCTCCAGTTCCAGGGAATCTGATTTGAGAACACCCACACAATGTTCCATTCGTTTAGAAGGCAGCTTATTCTTAAGTGAAAACATATTTACCTCCAAACTACTCTGACTAGCTAGTCTAATATAAACATTTTAAATAATACTATACCTGTTGTAAAGCTTTTAAATCAATTTTCTGACCTTCTATCTTGGAATAAAATTCATCCACGGCCTTATTTAAAAAAGAAAAAAGACAAATAATTGGCTGTAAGGAAAGAGAAAAAAGCATGGTCTCTACTTCACCTCCCGCACACACACAATGTTAGCCTGTTTTATACCATGTGACCTCATTGGATCTGACCACATTTCCAATGACGAAGCTAACAATGTCAAGAATAAAACAAAGTCAAATATTTGATCTTATCTTTATAATAAAAATGGCAACAACTGTTTTTAATAGTTGTATCTGTAATTGTATTCACTTTTAATCAATCCCCAGATTCACACTGACTGTAAGGCATGAATATTTTCTGAGTTTCATTTCCTTTCTTTTCTTTCTTTCTCTTTCTTTCTTTCTTTCTTTTCTTTCTTATTTATTTATTTTGCAGTGTTGAGGATTAAATTCAGGGCTTGGTGCATGCACTCACACTGAGCTACACCCCCAACCCCAAGACTTCATAACAATTCTTAAAATTCATGTCATGTTAACTAATGCAAAACAGACCTAGAAAACCCACCTTGTCAAACGATTCAAATTCTATATATGGACATTGTAAATGTTGAGAAAACAAGAAAGGATGAAATTCCTCATACCTGTAAAACATATTTATTATATCACAATTAAGAATATTAATTAGCATACAAAGAAAACTGACCCATGAATACATACTCACGTGAGTATGTCTTCAGCTGGTTTATCTGCATCTAGGCTTGGTTTTGCTTCTCTTTTCTGGATTATATAACCCTATCAAAACAAAAAGCAAAAGGTAACTAATATTAGACTCATCTACAGTCACAATTAACAAAAGAGTGACACATTGACTGTTGTTTTTTTTAATTAAAGGTACACTTTGAATACGAAAGAAAAATATTAAAGAATGAAGTAATTTTCTAATTAACTATGAGGAGACCATAAGCCGCCTTTTTTTGTTTGTTTGTTTTGTAACTGCTGGCAAAATAAAGAATGCTTCTCTAAAATCAGTTCAAGATGAAACATTTTATCCAGGTATAGTGATACCTGCCTATAAACCCAGCACTTGGGAGGCTGATGTGGAAAATCTTGAGTACTAAGGCCATCCTGGGCATCATAGCAAGACCTTGTAAAAGGAAAGAAAAACTGGCTGGAGTAAGAGTTCAACAGTTATGACTGCTTGTTGCTTTTCCAGAGGACCCAAGTTTGGTTCCCAGCACCCACAATGAGTCTCTAGTTCCAAGGGATTGACAACTTCTTTTGTCTCCAAGGGTCCCATATGTGACATGCACTCACATATGTACATATACATACACATAATTAAACCTTTTAAAAAGTCAAACTTTTTTTTTCTTTTACACAAATCCCTCAACTGATATTGGTTTTTGTGGGTTTTGCTTCTTTGGTTTTGTAAGTGAGGACTTGCTTAGCTCTGGTTGGCTTTGAACTTGCTATGCAGACAAGAATGACCTGGAACTCCTGCCTCCACCTCCCAAGTGCTGAGATTACAGGCATGTACTCATAGTGCCTAATTTATGCAGTGCTGGGGAACAAACCCAGGGCTCAGTGAACTGTAGGCAAGAGTCTTATCAATTTAATTTTACCTTGAGTCCCAATACAGTATTTTCTATAAAAGAAAAAGGATAGAAATTTTTTTTTTACAAAAATCAATACAAAAATAGAGACTACTCCAGAATTAGGTGTATAGTCCAATGGTATAGAATGAATTTGTATGTACAAAGTCTTCGGTTCAAACCTCATATAAGAAAAACAAACAAGGCTGGGCAGTGGTGATTAGGTGTATAGTCCAATGGTATAGAATGAATTTGTATGTACAAAGTCTTGGGTTCAAACCTCATATAAGAAAAACAAACAAGGCTGGGCAGTGGTGGCACATGCCTTTAGTCCCAGCACTTGGGAGGCAGAGGCAGATGGATCTCTGTGAGTTTGGGACCAGCCTGGTCTACAAGAGCTAATTCCAGGACAAACTCCAAAGCCACAGAGAAACCCTGTCTCGAAACCACCCCCCAAAAGACAGAAAAACAAAACAAAACTCTACGTTAGAACAATAAGTAGATAAAAGATATTTTATTTCTGAAAATCCAAATAAAATCAAAATAATACAAGGCTGGTGGGATGGATCAATGTGAAAAGGTGTCTGTCACCATGCCTGATGAGCCTGAGTTGGATTCCTAGGACACACACAGTAAAAGGAAGTAGTTAACTCTTGCAGGTTGTCAAACCTCTGGAATGCTATGTTACCTTCCCCAATAAACATATACATATAAACAACCATAGTAGTAACTATTTACATGATGCTGCTACCTTTCCATGGAAGTTGGCTGTTTCTTTCATATAGTCTTCTGCCTTCTGTACACAAACCAGTATTTTTTCAATATCTAATGGAGAAATAAAAACAAGGGGAAAAGGAATGCCAATCAAGTAGATGAATCATTATTAAATAACTATGTATGCCAGGCGTTGGTGCACATGCAGCTAATCCTAGCACTCGGGAGGCAGAGGCAGGCAGGTGATCTCTGTGAGTTTGAGGCCAGCCTGGTCTATAAAGTGAGTTCCAGGACAGGATCCAAAGTTACACAGAGAAACCCTGTCTGGAAAAACAAACAAAGAAAAAACTGTATTATTTATTTATTTATCTATGTTTTTTTGAGGCAGGGTCTCACTATGCAGCACCACTACACCTGGCTCAGTTTATTTATTAAAAAACAGTAACAGAAAGGCGGCTGAGTACATTAGTACAGGCCTCTACTACCAGCACTAAGGAGACTGAGGCAGGACAACATGAGTTCAAGGCCAGGTTGGGCTATACACAGTAAGACCCTATCAAAAAAAAACTGTGATACTGCCAGGTATCCAGAAGTGGAAGGAAGAAGACCAACTCCTAACAAGCTGTCCACTGAACACGCACACAAACATACTAGATGTAATTAATAATAAAAACAAAAAACAGGCCAATGAGATGGCTTAATAGGTAAAGGTGCTTACTGCACAAGCCTAGAGACATGAATTTATTCCCCAGAACCTAATATAAAGGTAGAAACAGAACAGACTCTACAAAGTGGTCTTAAATCTCCACATACATGCTATGTGGCATGTCCTGCTCCCTAACACTTATCAAGTGTGCAAATACATGCGTATATACACACATACACAAATTTTTAAAAACTAAAAAAAAAAAACAGTAAAAGTATTTAAGAAATAATGTAAGTGCTTAATAAAATGATACAGTTGTTTCACTTTGTTGTTGTTGTTGTTTTTTTTTTTTTTTTTGGTTTTTTTGGAACAGGGTTTTTTTTTTTTTTTTTGGG